AAGTGATATATAGACTTAATTGGGTTCAGGAACTAGATCCATCAAAAGTTCATTAATCTAAGTTTCAGTAGTGATGAACTATTTGAACTTGAATTATATTTTTCTATTTTTTCCCCTAGCACCCATATCACGGGCGGTGGTGGAAAAGGGCTACATTCATCGGGAGTTAGTAGGTTGTAATAGGCTCGCGTGGAGGGCGGCTAGCTCCTGCTCTGCTGGAGTTCATTGATGGACATTTTGCTCATTTTGTATTATATTAAGAGGGACCATGTTTTTTACTTTGTGACTTTGGCTACCCAGTGTTCTCTGTGCTGTTGTTGTTGAAATTTAGGGGCAACGACGGTCGTAGGATCGGAAGCGACCCGGCGTACCCATGGAGAGTTAGTCGTGAAGCCTAATGGCGAATGAATGTCGCTTTCAGCGGAAACTAATGTGCCTTGCAGCCAATAAACGCAATGACGAGTAGATGTTTGGGGAGCCCCAGAAGTCCCTCAGGGTGACAAACACCGGCCCCGCCCTTCACAGAGAACACTGGGTAGCAAAACCAAAAACTCGGCCCCCCAACTAAAACGCAAAAAAAAATCATCCAATGCCTTCCAGCAGAGCAGATGCCAGCCGCCCACCACGGCCGAGGGCACACAGGGAGCCCTCCAGGGCTCCTGGTGTGTTCCTGTAAAACAGTCTAAAAGGGGGTTACAAGTGTTGTCCTAGTTGACTCTTCAGAGGTTGCATGGCGTTTCACCTTTCTTTTTATGACGTCTTCAACATAACCGTTAGAGAAGCCATTGTTGACTAGGACCTGCCTTATCCTATAGAGTTCTTCATCGACTTGCTTCCATCCTGAGCTGTGACTGAGAGCCTGGTCGACGTAAGCGTTGACAACACTTGACAGGAACTTTCCACGACCGGCCTTTACCCGACATAATTAAATAGGGTAAAAACGGTATATTAAATGCAGTAAAACTACGGTAAATTCAATATGATAAACTGGCATTCTTTAAGCATGGGCTGCATAGTAAGTGAACTAAACTTTTCTGATCAGGGGGAGAAAGATACTGGCAGTATGGGGCTTTAAATTTATTGAAGATTAAATTCTGCAGAACATGTAAATATATAAAGTTTCAAATATATAAAGTAAGTAAATATATAAAGTTTATATTAAACACGGTTTATATTATAGACTTATAACAAAGTTTATATTATATTAAACTTAATATTGAACATGTAAATATATAAAGTTTCAAATATATAAGGTAAGTAAATATATAACGTTTATATTAAAATATATAAAGTAAATATATAAAGTAAGAATTAACAGTAACAATTCCAAGTCCGAGGACTAGATTTAACTTAAAAGGTACACCCGTAGTAAGTATGAGACCTTAGCCTATAGTGACATGGAAACTAATTCTGCAGAAACCTAAAGGTTAACTGGTACTAGAATTAAGGCCGAGTGCAAATGTGTAGTAATTATATAACACTAGGATATAACAGGCAGGACACAAAGAATAACTAATAAGTGAGAGACCACATAACACGTAATGTACCCGGCCAAGAGGCCGTAAAAGACCTAATGAATAAGGAGAAGGGGGTGTGACTACAAGTAGGGCTTACTAGCACCTAGACTGGGCAAAGTATTAGCTGCGGACAGCGGGACACTTGGGGACCGGCGCTGCACCCCCCTTCCCACATGCAGTGCGGAGAAAAGGGGGACAACTGTGCAAAGCATGACGGGGGTACAAAGACAGCCGCTTGCAAAGGGGAGGTGGGTGGGCTTTGCGAGGGCAGCGGCGGGGGCAGGCGGAGTGAGGGCAGAGCCCCACTGTGCGCCCGTATTTATACGGCCCCAGACTGCCCGCGCAACGCCGCGGGACGTGCTGCGCAAATGTTTCTTTCTCCTCCATCAGAAATATCCCCTCTTGCGATCAAGCAGTGACCATAAATGTTAAGCACCCTGGCAAACCACTTCGTTCTATTCAATTTCTTTATTTAATCACTTTGTTCGGCTAGAATTTTTAGATTAGATTAAAGGAACACCCTCCCTGGTAACGGCTGAACTAGTTAACCAAATACAAATATTTAGGTAAAATACTTTCATAAAACCCGTCTACTTCCCCCACCAGTAGACTTGTTCAGCTAAAGGCATAATGTAATGTTCCACTTTAGTAAATAAAGACTTAAAAAAACACTACCCCATCTGTGCAGTTACCGGTTACCTGACATTCTACGCTTAAAATAACCCATCTATTCCCCATAATTGTTCGATATAACTTACCTCTCACCCGCTGGTCGAGTACACAGCAGTATATATCCTCCTCCATCACTCACCGCGTGGATACTATTTCACTCTGGCCGCAAATTGCCTCAAATCACCTACGTTGTCCATAAACATATATAGAAGAGCAACTGACCGTAACACCCGTATAGCGATCATCACATAACGTGGGAACATTAGTAGTACTGCTGTCAAAACATAGATGGCGCCAGGACAAACGGTAATTCCTATGGACTCGCCTAGTTATGCGTAGGGAATTGAGCTTCAGCTGTTTGGTCCTGCCCCTCAGCTGTATTCACCTAGTTGTACTCACCTAATTTGTGCTTGCAGGGGTTGAGCTTTGGTTCTTTGGTCCCGACTCTCAACCGTCAATCAACAGGTGTACAGGTTCCTGAGCCTATTGGGTTCTATCACATCTACATTTGAAATTGTGTATAGAGTCAGCCTCCACCACATCACTGCTTAATACATTCCATTTGTTAACTACTCTGACACTGAAAAAATTCTTTCTAATATCTCTGTGGCTCATTTGGGTACTAAGTTCCCCTTGTTCTCATTGACCAATCTCATTGACCACAAGCTGAATTTCCAGGGACACATTCTAAACATATCAAAAAAAGTTTCAAAAACTGTGGGCATTCTTTCTAAGATCAGATATTATGTACCACGCCCTGCCCTGGTGACTCTCTATTACTCCCTTATCTATCCATATCTCAACTATGGTATTTGTGCTTGGGGCTCTACTACCCAAAATCACTTACGTCCTCTAATTACTCAACACAAAGCTGCTATTAGGACAATATCCAATTCTGGCCCCAGACATCACTCGGTACCCCTACTTAAATCTCTGAATATGTTAGACATTAAGTCACTGCACATTCTCTCATGTGTATTATACATATATAAAACGCTAAACTATAATGCCAATCCTGATCTCAAAAGCTTCATAGAAGGTTGTATCAGAACCCATGAGCATCACACCAGAAATAAATACAGTTTTGATATTCCTAGAGTACGACTTAATCAAACTAGAAATGCTCTACAAATCAAGGGGCCCAGAATGTGGAATGACCTTCCCAACCATGTTAAAGACTGTACCTCTCTCAACCAGTTTAAGTTAAAAGTGAAGCTATACCTAATAAATTCCCTGTAACCTACCTTACCCTTCTATTGTCAACCAATGTCTGTTTTTTTCTTTAAAGAGCGCTGTTTGTCGACATAATTGTATTTGTGCTGCTTTTTCATCTATGTTTTCATTTCTTGTTTTCATTCTACTCATTATGCTCAATTAGTATTAAGCTTGTCATTTAAGTTTATCATGCCCGAAACGCTTTGCGTAATAGTGGCTTTAGGCATTGTATGTACTAGCTCTACCTATAAGTCAAACAATCCTTGTAAAAATTTATTGTATGTATGTACCTTACCTAAATAAAATTGTATTGTATTGTATTGTTCGTGTTCCACCCGTGTTAGTTAAAGAGCTGTCTTTGTAACTATCAAAACGCATATATCTTTGCTTTCACTTCAGTTATATTTATGGTGCGGCTGGTAACTGGGGTCGAAAAGTGAACTGCGTAGTCGGCGGATGTGTCTCTGGATTTAGCAGTCGCAGACGTTGAGACGAAGCCTGGAGCAGAGCAGAGAGCTGAGTGAAGGCCGTTTCGGCATTGAAGGACAAAGATAGCCATATCTGTTCTGTAGTTAATTTTATAAGTAAATTGATAAGATATTTGTACAGCATTTGCATATCTAATCATGGTATTTGTGCTTCAAAAGTTTGAAGACCCTTGGCAGTTACAACAGTTATCCAGTATACAATTACTACCTAAGTTGGGTCTGAAGTTTGAGCTCTAGGAAAAAGGTTATTTGTTATAAGAAAATATAACGTAAGACATATACTTGACAGGTGAGACTGTTGGTTTTTACTGCTGCTAAGTCAGTTTTTTATTTTATTTTATTTATTTATAGATACAAGAGTTCTTACAGTACAGCCATTAGCATCCATGGCATTTTGGGCAAGTCCTTAATCCTAATTTTCACAAACACACACATCCTCCTGGAACCAGCCTGTAGCAGCTGTCTAACTACCAGGTACCTATTTACTGCTGGATGAACAATTGCATCAGGGTGAAAGAAACTGCCCGTTTGCTTCCGCCTTCCACCGGGAATCAAACCCGGACCCTTAGGGCTACAAATCCTAAGTGCTGTCCACTCAGCCATCAGGCCACTAAATCAGAACATTTATTAAAAATTATGCTATAAAAATATGTGGTTTCAATATTTGATGAATAATATAAAATGTTAATTCGAAAGTCCTTATGATAATACAGTAGAGCCTTTTTTCATGGCAATAATTTAATGGTGATAAATGTTTTCCACTGAAATTTTGAAGGTATTGTAATGTGATTTTCATGAAGTTTATGGTTGCTACAAAATTGCCAGAAACACAATTTACTCATGGAAAGAAGTTTGATGGGAAATCATTTACAGTAATGTTTCTGAAATGTCTTGTATGGCTAGTGAGACTATTTGACCTAAGGAAACTTTCGTACAGGCTTCATGTCTCTGACTCCAGGAATTATTATATGATAATTAAAATGCTCTTTATTGCTTCAGATGATGAAAATTTTATTGGATACACTCTAATAGTAGATATTTTATTACAAAAGTACAACAAATATTACTATACAGTTGTGGAAAAATAGCGCTTTCAACATATTTTTCTAATATCAAAAGCGATATTATCAGATATTTTTTGACATTCTATGCTTTCTCAGGATTTATGGATGAAACGTGTGTATACTGTACATTGATAATGTTGATTGCTGATTTGGTGCTCTGTTTCAGATATTGATCTTGCATCCATAAAAATTTATTCATTAACATGGCCAACCCTAAAGTTGTCGTCGTCGGCTCCTGCATGACTGATCTTGTCAGGTAAATGTTAAATTTGTTTGGTTAAAATTATTGGAAGCATATTTAACTACTATATGCATTGTATTTGTGAATACTTTCACATCCATATAAATAAACAAAAAGAAAATGAGTAAAATCAGTTAAGAGAAAATATTGAGTCCATACAATGGGATCGAACCTACATACTTGGACTTCCCAGGCACACACTACCGTCTGAACTATGATGAGCTCATATATATGTCACATTCTTAGATTACATTGTGCTCATCAATTAAATTTGTATGCTCTTTGTTTCATACCTCCATTCATATGCAAAGTATTATATACTAAGGAAGTGAATTTTCTACTGAAATGCAAGGTACAGTAACTATTGTCTCAATCAACCACTGCACTAACTGCAACAAACCTAACTCATACAAGGAGTGATTTTCTGGAAAGGGTGGATCGGTATCCACAGAGCATGTGTTGTGAATGAGAACAATAGAACAATACACATCATCAAATTTAAAATTACTCTTATTACAGCTACACACCTCGGCTTCCAAAGCCAGGGGAAACAATCCACGGACACCGTTTCAGTGTGGGTTTTGGTGGAAAGGGTGCAAACCAGTGTATTGCTGCTACTAGACTTGGAGCCACAACAGCAATGGTTGCCATGGTACTGTATACTTAATTTTTCTTAGTTCTTTGCACATTTTTCTTAAAAAGTAATGTAAAAACATTAATCCTAAGAATAAGAAATTAACAAAACCATATATATCATGATTTGATATCATATATATATTTTGCTTTTAATAGAGCGGAAGCTCGTCAATTGAGACATTTTCTGTGAATGGCTCGCTCGTTACTTGAAATGCTCGTAAATGGGGCTGCTCATCACACAAGATTCCTCTGTAGATTTGTTATGCAGGATCTTCCCAATTGAAAACATACTGTTTGTTGTTATATTTATTTATTTTTATTTATTTATTTATTTATGCATATACAAGAATGTACATAAGGAATGTGAGGATACAAATATGGTAATTACAGTCTTGTAAAGCCACTAGCACGCGCAGCGTTTCGGGCAGGTCCTTAATCTAAGAAAATTTTAAGGAAGTAAATACTTGCAAAATTTATAGACAAAAAAATGATAACAGATTACATGAAATGAAAAAAAAAAAAGAAGATGAGAGAATATTGTAGGTACAGTATATTAAAGCACATAGGTAGCTAAGATTGATTGCAATGACAGCTTAAAATGGTAGTTGACAACAAATTGGTAGGCACAATACAGCAGAAACAATATAAGATTGATTGCAATGACAGCTTGAATGGTAGTTGACAAAAATTGGTAGTCACAATACAGCATATGGCTAGCACATAAAATAAGACAGCAATGAACACAATGATAAGGTTGTTTGATATTACATAAAAATTAGGAGATTGGGTAACACTAGGTACAGAGCAAATTTAAAGCTCAGTGTAGGAAACTAAGAAGATGAAGTTAGGTACTTTTTGGTTTTGCTTTTAAATAAGGCAAAAGTTTTACAGTTTTTCAATTCACTAGGGAGTGAGTTCCATAGACTAGGTCCCTTAATTTGCATAGAGTGTTTACACAGATTAAGTTTGACCCTGGGGATATCAAAGAGATATTTATTTCTGGTGTGGTGATAATGGGTCCTATTACATCTGTCCAGGGAGAGTTTCAGAGCATGGTTTGCATTTAAGAACAGGGTTTTGTAAATGTAGTTGACACAAGAGAATGTGTGGAGGGAGTTAATATTTAGCAAGTTTAGGGATTTAAACAAGGGAGCTGAGTGTTGTCTGAAAGCAGAGTTAGTTATTATTCTGATAGCAGATTTTTGCTGTGTGATGATGGGCTTAAGGTGGTTTGCAGTGGTAGACCCCCATGCACAGATACCATAATTAAGATAGGGGTAGATTAGTGCATAATATAGTGAGAGGAGAGCAGAGTTAGGAAGATAATATCTGATTTTGGAGAGTATACCAACTGTCTTAGAGACTTTCTTAGTTATGTGTTGAATGTGGGTGCTGAAGTTGAGTCTCTTGTCTAGGAATAGGCCAAGAAACTTGCCATCATTTTTATTACTGATGTTAATGTTGTCTATCTGTAGCTGAATTGCATTTGATGATTTACTTCCAAATAAGATGTAGTAAGTCTTTTCGATGTTTAATGTTAGTTTGTTCGTTGACATCCATAAGTGGACTTTTTTTAATTCATTATTCACAACATTATTTAGTGTATGTGGGTTGAGGTTTGAGTAGATAAGGGTAGTATCGCCAGCAAACAATATAGGTTTGAGAATATTAGAGACATTAGGCAGATCGTTTATATATATAAGAAATAGAAGAGGTCCTAAGATGCTGCCCTGTGGCACTCCAACGGTAATTGGTAGAGTGGAAGAAGTTGTATCATTGATGGTTACATATTGGTGTCTGTCACTACAATACAATACAATACAATACAATTTTACAATACAATTTTATTTAGGTAAGGTACATACATACAATAAATATTTACAAGGATTGTTTGACTTATAGGTAGAGCTAGTACATACAATGCCTAAAGCCACTATTACGCAAAGCGTTTCGGGCATGATAAACTTAAATGACAAGCTTAATACTAATTGAGCATAATGAGTAGAATGAAAACAAGAAATGAAAACATAGATGAAAAAGCAGCACAAATACAATTATGTCGACAAACAGCGCTCTTTAAAGAAAAAAACAGACATTGGTTGACAATAGAAGGGTAAGGTAGGTTACAGGGAATTTATTAGGTATAGCTTCGCTTTTAACTTAAACTGGTTGAGAGAGGTACAGTCTTTAACATGGTTGGGAAGGTCATTCCACATTCTGGGCCCCTTGATTTGTAGAGCATTTCTAGTTTGATTAAGTCGTACTCTAGGAATATCAAAACTGTATTTATTTCTGGTGTGATGCTCATGGGTTCTGATACAACCTTCTATGAAGCTTTTGAGATCAGGATTGGCATTATAGTTTAGCATTTTATATATGTATAATACACATGAGAGAATGTGCAGTGACTTAATGTCTAACATATTCAGAGATTTAAGTAGGGGCACCGAGTGATGTCTGGGGCCAGAATTGGATATTGTCCTAATAGCAGCTTTGTGTTGAGTAATTAGAGGACGTAAGTGATTTTGGGTAGTAGAGCCCCAAGCACAAATACCATAGTTGAGATATGGATAGATAAGGGAGTAATAGAGAGTCACCAGGGCAGGGCTAAGATAGGATCGGATGTAGTCAAGGGCAAGGCCTCGGATTCCATAATGCTGGAGTTTAAGTAAGAGGTAGTTGTGATTAACAGTATCAAAGGCTTTTCTTAGGTCAATGAAGAGTCCAATCGAAAACTCATTTTTGTCAAGGGCTGAGTAGATAATGTCAAGGAGACTAATGATTGCATCATTGGTGCTCTTTTGGGACCGGAAGCCAAACTGGCAGGGGCTGAGTATGTCGAATTTTACGAGGTAGGAATAGAGCTGTTTGTAAATAATTTTTTCAAATATTTTTGATAGAATGGGTAGATTTGATATTGGTCTATAATTGTTTATGTCCGCCGGATTGCCTCCTTTATGGACTGGCGTTACTCTTGCTTTTTTGAGGATATCAGGGAAGGTGTGATACTCTATAGATTTGTTGAACAGTAGTGCTATGGGTGGGGCAAGGGCATGGGAGGCTCTCTTGTACACAATGGACGGAATTTCACTGGTGTTCCCTGCCTTGGTTTTTAGAGAATGTATGATGGACACAACATCTGCCGGGCTGATTGGTGAAAGGAGAAGAGAGTTTGGATAGCTGCCTGAGAGATATGTGTTAATATGTGTCTGAGTCTGTGGGATTTTACTGGCAAGATTAGCACCAACCGATGAAAAGAAACTATTAAATTCATTTGCCATTTCTAAATCAGTTGACGGTATATCCCCATCCTTGTAGAGTTTTATTTGGTTATGTGAGTGTTGTTTAGTTCCTAGGATACTAGAGATAGTTTTCCAAGTGCTTTTCATGTTGCCTTTTGCTTCATTGAATCTATTCACATAATATGCAAGTTTTGCCTTTCTTATGATACTGGTAAGCATTGATGAGTACCTTTTAGCTACTTCCTTTGAAACTAGGCCAATCCTAAGTTTCTTTTCATATTCATGTTTCTTGTTGATTGAGTTGAGAATGCCACTTGTGAGCCATGGATTGTTTAATCTTTTGTCAGTTACTTGCTTGGTAAGAAGGGGACAATGAAGGTTGTAGAGGCTTAGAGTTTTGGAGATGAAGAGGTTAGCTAATGAATTTATATCATGGGTATTATTGAATTCAGAATCCCAGTTAATATTGTAAAGTGCCTCTGTAAGATTGTCTAAAGCTGATTCACTGTGTAGCCTAAATGAAAGTTTCTTGCTTTTTGGTGGTGTTATGTCCATGTTCGCTATGAGAAAGGTAGGATAGTGGTCAGTTGTTCTGTCGTAGATTATACCAGATACAAGGGGAGCTGTTATGTTTGTCCATATGTGGTCCAAGGTGGTGGCTGATGTTTGAGTGACTCGGGTAGGTTTGGTGATTGTGGGGATTAGCATACAGGAGTTCATGCTGTTAAGGAAATAGTCAACTTGAGAGCAATTTTGATGACCCAGGTCAATATTAAAATCTCCTCCCAGAATGATGTGGTTTTTGTTGAGATTGTTGTTTATAATAAGATTCCTTAGGAATCATTTCTAAGATATCATTTCTCTCCAGGTGTTCTTCCCATTTGGTTTTAATTATATTTCGACTAATGTTTGGCTAATATGCCTGTCGATACAGGTATATAATTAAGAGGTCTTCCCTGCTACCATTTTTGTAGATCTTAACTGTTATCATTTTTGCCATATAGCCAAAACTCCTGTGCAAAAAGATGACTGAAAAATTAATTGAAATTGAAGGCTGAGCTCAGGTATGCATTATTTCAGAACCCTAGGTAAAACTCCATCTGGGCCAACTGCTTTGTTCCTACTTATCTCCTTGAGCATTTTTTCCAGTTCATCTCGAGACACCTCTTATTCTCTGAAACACATTGTCTCGTTCTCTGAAAATTTAATTTTACACACACACACACACACTTTGTAACTATTAGTTTAGTGTTTCAAACATTTTCTCATTCTCCGGGAATCTGTTTCCCCATTTTCAACCTCTGAATTTTATCTTTTACCTGTAAATTGCTTTTAATGAATTTATAGAATAGGCCTGGTTCTGTTTAACTTTTGTCCACTATCCCTTTCTGAAAATTTCTTTGATTCTTCTCACTGTATGTAGTTTTCTTTGCTTCTTTGTATTGCTGATAGTGTTCTGCTCCACAAGAGATACTGTGTACTAATTTTGTGTTATTCCTGATGAAGCCACATAAGCAAAATGTTGAATAAATGTATGTCCCTATTCTACATTTCATTTTTTATCACTAGTTATTTTCTCATTATATGTTGCTGCTTGTGTACCGCACATTCTTTACTTTCGAGCTATTGTAGATCATTAATAATGTAATCTATTCTATGATAATATTTACCATGGTTTCCATTTTACATGTTGGAGATGATTCATTTGGGCAAAATTATTTACAAAACTTCCGGGACAACAATGTCAATATTTCTCACGTTGGAGTGACAAGTGAGGCAGCAACTGGTGTGGCACCCATTGCAGTTGATGATGCAGGTACAACTGATTTTTATTGCATTTATATCGTCTTGTATATTTGTCATGAATACAGCAAAAATGTCTGTCACCTGTTACTGATGAAGTTCTATGCTACTTAAAGTGAAAATTTGTAACCTGAATTAAAATTATCAAAGGCAGAGCTATGTTTTTATGAATCCAGGTACAAGGTTAGGTATTTCTAATTCTTGTTTCTTCTGACAGATTGAATCAAATATATAACTTCTATTTAAACTGACTACCATTCTATTAAGCAGTATTATGTGGTAATAATTTATTTTGATATATTCATTTAGTTGATAATCTAATGTAGCAACTTGAGCCCATAGGATATGACCACAGGGAGGTTATCATTTAATTTTAGCCCAGAATGTCCACCAGTAAGTTCATTTATTAAAGCTCTAGGCCATTTTAAATGTTTCTTTGCATCACAGGTGATTGAAAACAAAACAAAATAAGAGCATGTTCTCACAAACTACTATAAATGTTGATGGTGTTGACCCAGCAGGCCACTGTCATCAACACTATAATAAAGTTTCCCACTGCAGGCCTCCTCACATTCTTTGTGACAGAATTCCATGACAGTTGGCCTCTGTGATGTCAAATAGAGTTTGACAGGGGCTTTCGAGATCATGAATCAAACTTTAAGAGGTCATTCAGGGCTGGATTATTTCTCCAGTGTCTCCATAGCTTCGGTGTGACATGGCCAGGACATTTGCAACTATCCTTGCTGGAGTGGTGCAGAATTTTCATCTGCCCTGACTGTTATCTTTCCCAGTGGTCCAAAAAAGACTTTGCCTAAAGAGCAAGTGTAGTTTTCAGACAGATGCATTTCACATTCTCATAATCTTATTTTTATATAAGCAATAATATAATAAAATTCTCAGTCTTGTAATGTATTAAATTTTTGCAATAGAAATCTTGAAGACTTGCATACTTTGGTAATATATATTAAACGATTGCTTAATTTTATTTTACTTAATGAGCCCAGTGAGCCATGCTATGGAAAAGTTTGAAATGTGCAAAATCCCTTTGTGGGGAAACTTCAAGAAATATTTACTTTCATCTGTGTAATTTGCAAGTCTACAAATCTTATTTTGTGCAGTATTTGGAGCTTGTTAGTGGCAGTATTTTGTAATAATGTTCAGGTAGGTGATTTATTGAGAGGAAAAATGGTGACTTAAGTGGTCTCTGAAATGTATCATCCCTTTACTGTACTGTACTGTACTTTCCTTTATAATTTTCAGTTCAATTTGTACAGATTTGCATTTCACGTTTTCCCACAATACCTTATGCAAAGCAAAGGTTGTCCATACTCATATTCCAGTACAGTACAAGCTTATATTAGAGATTGACCTTAATTTAGTTTTCCCATTTTGCAGGGGAAAACTGTATCATTATAGTAGCCGGAGCAAATTTAAAGATGACTGCTGCAGATGTACAGAGAGCTGAAAAAGTGATAAAGGAGAGTGCTGTGGTTGTCTGTCAAGGAGAGATCACCACCGAGGCCACACTCGCTGCGCTGACAATGGCACGCAAACATAATGGTGAGGGAAAATATTTACCAAGCTATGGTTCCCCAGAGTATTTCAAATAATTTTTTTTAAGCGCTAGGATTTCTTGAGAAATATTACTTGCATAAAAAATTAACTGGAAATACTTGCCCAGCAATAGCATTAGATGTGTGCAACTATCAATATATCCGTTGTTCATCTCTGAACAGTCAAAATTTTTATCTTTGCAATCAATGCAATTATATATATCTTGGTTGTTAAAAGACCCTAACTGTTCTATATCCTTATCTGCCTATAGTTTCTTCACCTCCTTGCACACACACTCTGTAATCTATTCAGAGTAAACTTACTGTTGTGTTGCTTACCCTTCTAGTTGACCATTCTCACAAATTACCACAGTATAAAGAAGAAAAAAAGAACACTGGCAAAATAAAAATATATTTAATTTAATTATAAATTTAAAAACATTTAGACCAAAATAAGTCTAAATAACAAAATTCAGTATCTTTAACATGTACATTCTTTAACAGACTTTAACTATATTGTGAACTTTGTCCTACATTCGCAGTCAAAACTCTGATGAATGCTGCTCCGGCTGATGCTAGTTTGGACAAGGCCATCATAATGAACTCGGACATATTTTGTGTAAATGAAAGTGAGGTAAGTTCTTAATCATATGACAATGACTGCAGAAGCATCTTGTATAGTCTGAGTGCATTATGAAGATGCTGGAAGCTTGGATACTCAAGTTGGTGTCATCAACAACAATATTTTTAATAATTTTGTAGTAGAGTTAATTTAATTCAGTTGAAGTAACCTTTTATATTAGAAAATATAGAGTATAAAATACAGCTAGGTCTGAAAACACACTGATCGTGAATACTGTAGTAGATTGTGGATTACTGTAAATATAATTTGAAGTGGGGGGGGGGGTCGTGGGTATTGCAGTGCAAATTTTACAAAACCATACAACACCCTATACTATATAATTTAAGAAATACAGTACATAAAATGTGGTACTGTACAGTAAATGCCCTTACAAAAGAGGTGTAATTCACTTTCAAATACCAGATGTATGTAGATGCAACCTGTCTTCTCAAAAGATGCATCATATTTTGATGTAGAAATTCCCAGCATCAAAATATGATGTACTGTAATCAATGTGGCTCACAAAATTGTCGGACCATCCTGTTTTCTATTCGTGGGTCCTCGGTTAGGTTCAGGTAGTTTAGTATGTCATGTTGTGATACAACAACTCAAGAACATAGGCTGGATAATGAGCTTCTTATAGTACTTTATGTACTGTGTTTACTGCACTTAAATGGTAGGCATCTGGAGTAGGTGTGTCAAGCTCCTTATACTGTAGTGGGAATTTTTAAGTGGGTAAGTGTTATTTAAAATGTTAAAATATATAAAGTTTGCTATGGGCTTGGCATCTACTATTTCAGATTTTGGATGCTCGACTATTGTTAAAATAGCAAGAATAATAATTGATACTGATTTTTTCCCCAAACTGTCATTTTCTATTTATTTTTTAGGCTGAAGTTTTAACCAGAGTTGAAGTAAAAACAGTTCAGGATGCCCAGCAAGCTGCCAAGATACTGTTGTCACATGGGTGTGGTAGTGTCATCATAACACTGGGAAGCGATGGGGCTTTGTACTCGACAGTCGATGGCCATATTAAAGTCCCTGCAGAAAAAGTAACTTCTGTCGATACAACTGTAAGTGTTACATGTTACTTCATTGGAAATGTGATGGTAGAATCGCGTAAGACAATAGAGAAAGTTTGCATGGAAGAGCATGAATAAGCTTACACATTCAAATGTAGTTGAACTTGCCTTTTTTTTGTTTTTGAGAATGGCAGAATACAGAATGTGGCTCAATAATGTAAAGATGTCTTTGCTACTGCTCCATCATTTGCAGTAGTAAATGTATAAAATATTAACTTCACTAAAAATGTAATACAATTGCACTATACTATGCTAATATTGCTTTCACTTGCCTTTTCCTGATAAGGACAATGTTGTGAAAACTATTTGTACACAGTAGCATCCAGAATTGGTTATTCAGCAGTACTCCGACTTCCTAAGTAGTAGGAAGGTTGAAAATTTTGGTTACTACAACTTCTCCAGGTTATAGTAACCAAAATTTACACACGCTGTTGTAAATACAGACTTAATCATTTTTATACAGTATTAATTGCTTTTTCCCCTATGTTTATATTCTACTAAAAATAGCAGATTACCGACTGATTAAACTTAAAAAAGTTTACCGACTGATTAAAGCTTTTGTAGAGTTGTTAGGTTTCTACTTCCATCTGCTTTAACCTGATCACTGCTTCTCCTACAGTGCAAAGCAACAGATTATTGCAATAAACTCATTGAAATTTATACCTGCTGACATGCAGTTTTACTCTAAACTGCTTTAACATGGTAGATAAGGTCAGCATGTAATTTTTTGCTTTATATTGCTTCTGAAAAAATCTTTGTAAATAGAGGCTGAGTTTGAGAGTTTCCAGTGTATTCCTTGAGTTAAGAACCATGTAAAAAAAAAAAAAAAAAAGTTAAGAGGATAATGAGATTATAAGAGTTAAACTTCTGGGGTTGTTTTTTTTGTGGTCTATATTACCAAGTCAGTGAATTTGACATGCATTGCTTCTTCAAGTCAATTTCAGATTACACTCCATATAGTAGTAGTAGGCATTCATCAATCTCAGGAGACTATGGAGATGCATTCTGGTTGTCAGTCAGGAGTGGCCTCTCCAGGGCACAAAGCCAGGGTAGGTTGATATGGGGGAGAAGCTATTGCCCATGCAGCGGGTCCCCCCTCTCCGCGGCACTGAAAGTCTCCAATGGAAAGGCAAACCCCCTTTCTAAATAGACTATATCCATGCAATGGTAACCTCATACTGTACAAGGTTCCCAGAAAGCTAGACCAGTAGATGTATGTAAATATTCTTTACATAAATCTACTGGTCTAGTTTTCTGGGAACCTTACATATCCATGCAATGGTAACCTCATAGGGCCTATTTTTTTCATATGGCACTTTAAATGACTTAGTTTTTAAACATTGGATGCACCACTGTTTGGGGAACAGAATTTCCTTTAGTAAGCACATACAAGTGAGACAGTAAAGATGGAAGAAAGGCACGTAAAGTGAACCTATTATAGATATTTGAAAAAGAAAGGGAAAAAAAGATTTGTAAAGGAAGTTAGTTTGGAGAGAATTTAACAAGTACAGCTGTAGTATGAATGTAGATAAAGAAATAAGCAGATATACATGGAAGAATGGTAATGGGGGTTTTCACATTAGAATTTAAGCTTTTACTTGGATAAAATTGCTTGCACGCCATTTTTTATTACCGTTTGATAATATTCATATACAGTAGTAATAAATGAAACGGGTGTATTTATTAAATTTACAATCTTTTGCAAGTTTGATAGTTGTTATGTCTGACTTTCAGATGTTTCAGTGAATCATATTTGGTATTTATGATTCTGCAACAATAAAGTTAAGTTTATGATAGGTTTAGCCAAAACTACATGATAAACTTATCAGTTTTCAAAGAATAATGGAGAAGGGATAATACTGTGCATGGCAATGACATGCAATGTTACTAATTGGGTTTCTTTTCTTTACAGGGTGCTGGTGATGCTTTTGTAGGTGCTCTGGCATATTACCTTGCCTACCATCCACACCTCTGCATGAAGGATATGTTGCAGAGATCATGCAAGGTGGCTACTATTTCAGTGCAAGCTCCAGGCACTCAGAGCAGCTATCCAACTAGGGACATGCTAGATAGGAAGTTATTTGCTTGATGGTTAGTAATGTTGAAAAAATATTTTTGTTTTCCTAGCAATAATGGAGTATTTCAACTTAACATTCACTGTTTAGCTAATTTCTTTTTAAATGTTTCTCACCCCAGGTTAAACTGTAGCAATTACCATAAGATATACATACAGTACTCATTAAAAATATGCCCTATCCTCCTCAAGGTGCATACTTATGGCAAAAAATAAAATAAGATACTTGTGGGTGAAAGATTTTTGACAGAAGTATGCAACGGCTACGTGACATCATGGCAGACATTAGCTCTTTTGAACAATAGCAATACCAGAGCCAGTGGCCTCTTGGCTGTCATCATGAACAGTTATGTGCTGCATTTTGCTCTGTGGCCATATGTTTTTGCACTAAATAGGGGTTCATGTGGTATGACATTATTATTATTATGGCACCTACTATGGAACTAAGTAAAGAAACCATTGCACAGATCATTGCTTTAAAGGTTAACAGGTCACCAAAGGAAATAGGTAAATGGTTGGGTGTAGCAAAGCCAACATGAGTAAGCATTGTGCGTGTTTGAGAGGGAAACGGTGGTGACATACCATTGTAGAAACATCAGTCTATTTGTCCCAGGGAGATGTCAAGGTCTGTGAACGTTCTAAGCTGTTCCCTTCATGTTACAGCAAGGCTAGACCTTGAACTCTTCCTTGGATGTCAGTCTGGTCATCCAAGGAAGATTTTAAGGTCTACCCTTGCTGTAACATAAAGGTTACTCTCCAATGAACATATTAGAATGTTCACAGACCTTGACATCTCCGTGACAAATAGACTGATGTTTCTACAATGGTGTATCACCACTCTCTCTCCAGAAAACATGCACAATACTTACTCATGTCGACTTTGCTACACCCAGCCATTCACTTATTTTCCTTGGTGACCTGTTTCCTTTAAAGCAATGATCTGTGCAATGGTTTCTTTGTTTAGTTTCTTGGTAGGTGCCAAAAACATATATATACTGTAATACCACAACACCACTGCTAACTACGATAAAAGATGAGAAGGTGCCAGAGCAAGATGCACAACACCAACTGCTCACTATGAATGCCCGGGGGAAGCTCTCACAGCTGTGTGACTCCAGGGAACTAGTGAACAATGTAACATTATGTACCTGGTGCATACTTAAAATATTTCACCCAGAAGACTATTTTTTTTTCCTCTGTGCCATCCTGCTCGAGGCGGCACATACTCTTCACGAGCACTGTACAGTTTTTATTCCCGAAAAACAATGCATGCTATCTATTTGTAATGCAAGAATAAATACTGTATAAAATAACTATTGGTGATGTCACCCTCCAGATTATGCATAATATCCATTACAGAGTATAGATTATTATTTCCTTCAGTAAAATGCACTGTATAAATTAAATGGGTCAGTATATCACCATTGTGATGCATCCCCACAGACTAAAATATATACAGTGTACTTAAAGTTAGGTGCCATGAATGAATGAGCTGCAGAACCAATGATTACTGTTGTTCATCCCTCCATGACTTTACTCTTCTAACTCTCCCATGGGTACTGCCTTGTTGAGACAACAATGGTGAGTGATAGTAACCTGGGTTGCATGATCAGTTTATGTGTACTATTTGCCTGCCAATTATTGTCACTTCTCATGCCCTTAATTTTGACAAATTATAGAATGTGGAACCCCTAATTTAAAGCAGTGACCAATTGCTGGCTATGGCATTTCTTTACATGTCATCTTGTGACTTGCATTATTGATATTTTATATATTTTAGTGATATATAAGCTGGTTATGAATTTGGTAGTGTTGTAGGTTTACCTAGTCATGTCACTTCTTGTCTGGTGCGTTTTGGGTTAGCATATTCTCAGTGGGTACAATATCCAAGAGCAATGCTAAATCAGTGTTTATTCAATGTCAAACCAATGCAACTCTTGGATATTGTGCCCAATGAGAATGTGCTAACCCAAAATGCACGAGACAAGAAGTAACATAACTAGGTAAACCTACAACACTACCAAATTCATAACCAGCCTATATATCACTGAATAATACATGAAATATCAATAATGCACATCACAAGATGATATGTAAAGAAATGCCATGGCCAGCAACTGGTCATTGCTTTGAATTAGGGTTCCATATTCTGTAAATTGTACAAATGTTAAGGGCATGAAAAGTGACAATGATGACCAAACCACACACCAGAAGATGAAGAAACGACGATGTTTCTGTCCATCCTGGACATTATCAAGTCAATTGTGATGGTAGCGAGGAAGGCACAGGCATTAAGTAAGGCAAGGAACAGATAAGAGGAGGTAATTCCTAGAAGGTAAGAAGGAGACAGGCAAGAACAAGAAGAAAGGTACAGATGGGATGGGTGTAATAATGTAGTAACAGAAGAATGGGAAACAATGAGAGAGAGAGAGAGAGAGGGGGGGGGAAAAAATGCAGGGATAGGCTTATGTCAGGTCCTGTTTGTTAGAAAGGCTAGAGCATTTGAGTATGTACTGTGAAAGGGAAGAGTCAACAGCAACAAAGCCAGGACTAAGGTTCATGTTGGGTATGTTGTGTATCAGAACCGATTCGACAAGACAGTGTCTGAAGAGCAGAGGAAGAAAAAGATTCTAAAAATAATCTTTCCTTCCTCTGCTCTTCACAGACACTGTCTTGTCAAATCGGTTCTGATACACAACATACCCAACATGAACCTTAGTCCTGGCTTTGTTGCTGTTGACTCTTCCCTTTCACAGTACATACTCAAATGCTCTAGCCTTTCTAACAAACAGGACCTGACATAAGCCTATCCCTGCATTTTCTCTCTCTCTCTTTCTCCTCTTATTGTTACGTTCCCATTCTTCTGCCACTACATTATTACACCCATCCCATGTGTACCTTTCTTCTTCTTCTTGCCTTTCACCTTCTTACCTTCTAGGAATTACCTCCTCCTTACCTTACTCTTGTCTTACTTAATGCTCGTGCATTGGTATCATTACAATTGACTTGATAACGGTTCAGGAAGGACCAAAATGTCTTCGTTTCTTCATCTTCTGATATGTAGTTTGGTCATATCATCTTCAGCCACGTTATTGTGACTCATCATCTGCAAAAGTGATGATAGTTGGCAGACAATTAGTACAAGTAAACTGATCATGCAACTCAGGTTACTATCACTCTCCATCATCTCAACAAGGCAGTACCCACTGGTAAGAAAAAAAAAAGTAAAACTCAAAGAGGGTAGAACAATAGTAATCATTAGTTTTGCAGCTAGACCAGCTAATTAGCCACTGGAGAAGCATTAGAAATAATGCAAGCACTCTCACAATGATTATCAGTGTCAAATTGGTAGGGGAATAGAAAGGGCCTAGGTAAAAGAATCAGGCATGTACAGAAAGTGAGCCACAAGTTGGAGTATATTGATCATCGTGGAATTTTCATTGTACTTACACAAAATACATTTCTAACATATGGAATAAATTTATCGATAAAATTAAATATTTTCAAAATAAAGAAGGGGTCAATTAAAAGTTAATAACATTCAATAAATATAATAATAAAATATAATTTACAGTGTATAAACAATTTTGGTTTATCTGCACTTATCCTATGCAGCAACAAGATTTTGCTTTCCAAAATACCAACAGTGATGTCCAAAACACACATGAAAACATAATATTTTGGTTCATCTTGGACCATTAATAAGTTGTGTAATAAAAAGAGTGGAAGAGATAGACAATGTAAGGGAAGCGAGATAAGCGGTGGGATAAAAAAAAAGGTAATAATAAGATGAAAGGTAAGAATAGAGGTAAGTAAAGTCAAGGTTAAAAGTAAGGGAAGAAAACAGGGGGATAAATAATTAAGAAATAGAAAAAGGAAAACTTCAAGCTAAAGCAAAGAAAAATACAGTATATATAGATCACGTTTAAGAAGGGTTAGAGCATTTAAGTATGTACTGCGAAGGGTAAGAGTCAACTGCAACAAAACCAAGACTAAAGTTCATGTTGGGCATTTGGTGTATCGAAGCCGATTGAACAAGACGGTGTCTGTGGAGAGTAGAGGCAGGAAAGATTATTTTAGTAGACTAATCTACAGGATGATTAGTCCCTAACATGGCAGAAGAGTACATTGTTTGTGTTTGCAGAATTAATACTTCTTTTGTGTTCTGTAAGTCTGTCATCCAGGATGACAGACTCTTAGACAAAAACTTCTACTTGTGCTGCCTCTACGCTTCACAGACGCCGTCTTGTCGAATCAGCACCAATACAACACATGCTCAACATGAACCTTAGTTCTGGCTTTGTTATAGTCGACTCGTCCCTTTCACAATACACACTTTAATGCTCTAACCTTCTTAACAAACACGATCTGCCATACCTTTGTCCTCTCTAGGCTCTTTCCTCTCTCTCATTCGTTACCATATTTATTCTTCTCCTTAGCTTGAAGTTTTCTATTTTCTAAATGTCTTATTTATATCCCTTTTTTCCTATTTATATCCACTTTTCCCTCTTCTAACCTTTCCCATATTTTACCCAATTCCCTCTATTATTACCTTTTCTCTTATTCTTGTCATTCCTCCCATCTTTCATCTCGCTTCCCTTATATTGTCTATCTTCCACTCTTTCCATTGCACAAATGTTAATGGTCCAGGATGGACTAAAATGTTATAATTTCTTTTTTTCTTGTGTGTGGTTTAGACATCAAATCTTCAGCCACATTATTGGACCTCATCATCTGCAATACTACCAGTATTCCTATCTGTGGATTAAGGTTTACCTATTTTTGTACTATTATAATTTATATTTAAATGACAAAAATACAATAAGCTGATGCCATAATTAAGCCAGAATATTGCTGACTGGAGCTAATATTTTCATCACAAAATAATTTTGGGACCAGGAACTAACAGTGGAGCCTTAATTTTATGCCAATGGATGCCAAATTATAAGAATTTCTCTGAAAAATTAAAAACTATAGAATACAGTATTAAAAATAAGAAACTAGAATTCACACCTGGAGTTTCAAGATTCAATTAATTAGCTTAGGAATAGTTTTGTACACATACCGAATTACTTGACGTTGTTCCGTTTCCATTCACAAGCGGCTAACAGAAAAATTCTTTTCCAAAATAGTTTAATATATACGGTCTCCATCATCTTAGATTCTTGCAGTCGTCTATGCTAAATTCACAATACTATACTGAATATCATTTATAATAAATGATAATCACATCCTATCTAAACACAATGTCAATTTGATACACTTAAATCTCTTGATACTATTATTATTTTTGGCTGGAGGATATTACTAATTGACTTAAAACATATCCTGAAATCATTTGCACCAAACAGTAGTCATTAGGAATGCCCATTTTAAATGCATACCACAATTTAACCCGTACATTTTACAATTTTAAGGCACAAACACTTCACGGAAGACCTATAATTCATTGTCTAACATGTTATAGCACAAAAAATTTGTTATTACAAATACAATCTCAGCAGTTTAAATCATAGAAATATCAAATAACCTACAAAGCTATTTAAATTATATTAACTTTTTATAGTGCTCAGTTACACCTATATTCTTCACAAAATGATATCCTGAATAATGCAAGTAATTTTAAGATGGGGTTTCTAAGCTGTAAATAATTATACAAAATAAATTACATTAATAAACATATATATGCAACAACTAATAAATAAAAAGTAGCCCTGGAAAGCTGTCACAGAATATTAAAGAGTTCCTATATATAAGACAGTAGGAAGATAGAGAAATTGTCATAGTAGTCACGAGTCCCTGAGGACTTTAGTGAGGGACGTACATCTCAAAGGAACAGCAGGAAAGCAAAATTTTTTAGATGGATATGCAATAAATCAATACTATACTAATATAATGTAAAGTAAATGTAAATTATTACTCATAAGAATCTAGTCTGTTTAGGAATATTTTATTTAAAAAATCTGATTACTAAGGATATTGATTACCAACAGCTGTGTGTGTGCACATGCTAAGTGTTACAGAATGAGAACTGTGCCGTTATGTCCCATGCTCCCTATAAACTTTGATATACACTAGTTTTGAAATGTCTAATGTTATTGGCATACACTTCTTTGTATTTAGTCTATTTCATCCATCTACAACTCTGCTGAAGAAATTTTTTAGTTTTTTTGGACCTGCCTTTTTTCCCAGCAATTATTACTTATACTCTCCATGATTTGGGTTTCAAATATTCCATCTCGATTTCATTGAGTTAACTCATAATTTTGTGATGATAACTACCCTATTTTTTTCTGTCTACCCATTTTGGAATATTTAGCACCTCATAGATGCATATTCTAGCTTAAGCTATACGTACCCATATCAAATTTTTGCAACCAAAATTCATATCCAGTGACAAGGAAGAACTGCATCCTGAAATTTGTCATCTCTATATAGAGTTCAATCACTTAATTACATTCATGATTAACTAAAATGCATTAACAACCAATTCCAGGAATATACCGTTTACAAAAAAATATTATGCTAAATTTTATTTTTTCTTTAAAGAAAAAAAATCTTCCAACCTAGCATTTACACAAGTTCATATAGAGGGGTTTATTACCCCTGTGGAACAGTCTCCTCCAGATGTCTGTAAATATCTATAAATACCTGCCATCAATTTATAATTTGCATAGCTAGCTTTAGCTCCAAAAACAAAAACTTGTAATTAATGTTCAACTGCAGAACAACTCTATTCAAGCACTTTTATAGCCTCCAAAGATATCCTCTTACAAGGAAAAAAAAATCCATAAAGTGTCTGAAGGCATTTGATTGAAATATGTATACAGATATTTGATTCCTTAGATGCTATCCTCAAGGAAGTGTTTACAACACTAACTGGCCTAGTCTAGTGTTCCAGTCTAGTTCAGTTCCCCAGCTGGTCTAGTGGATTGTTATTATAACTATAGTATTAAACTTTATTACAGAAAACTAAATCACTATAACAACTTTCTTAAAGATTTCCGATTTAAGATGAGTCTTATTCATATTCTCACATTGTATAATATACTGTACACACAATTTTATACACTATTGTATATTCTGTATATCTATACAGTATACACTATTGTATATACTGTATATCTATACAGTACACACTATTGTATATACTGTATAGATATGTAGACATGTATATATATCCATACATCTATATTCATATCTATATACGCATACATAGCAATAGCTCGGCATCAAAAGTGCAATCTTGCAAATGAAAATATTATTTATGTTTACCATTTTCTCAAAATTGTTATACCTCAGCAAACAGAAATCAAAATAATATTCATGTACAGCTAAATTAAAGTATATGAATGGTCAACTTGACAATTTTAGTTAGTCAAAGTTCTATATGAAAACAAAATCACATATATCATGAATTATATTAACTTTAATAATGTCAATGTTCCAAATAACTAATTTAAATGCAGCTAATACTTTTGGCTTATTCAAAACACAAAAGTCAAAACTCTACTGAAAAGCCTGGGTCCATGGGATAACTACAATATTAATTTTTTTGGTCCCAAAATACCTTCATTCTAAGCATAGTCTCTTCCCCACACTCGAAGTTTTGGACAAATAATTGTCCAGATCTTACACTTTCAAAATTACGAGTGGGGAGACAGGATAAAAGGGTATAACATACAAAAAATATACAATCAAATCTCACAGAAGAGCAAAAAATTATCTATACACAAGGAAGGCATTTAGAACAAAAAATCAGCTAAACGTGAGTGCTGAGACTGCTCACCTCAAGCTAATAGTCTCTCCTGTGCTTTTTGCACTTACTGGATTAACTTTTTTCATAATGGCATCTTCCAAATGTTCTGCATTGCCTAAATGCTTCCAAAACTGCCTTCACAAAAGGAAGTGTTTACTCTCATTTACATCATTGGTAAGTGTACAATTTATTTTTTACTTTACATTTATGGATGAGAAGTGGTGCGAGTACCTACTAATAATGTTCAGATAGTGTTTTATTGAAGTAAAAAAAATTGCACCTGGGAGTTCTCTCTAGAATGCATCTTTTTCTTTTTCCCATGTAACCCAGGTTAAATTTTCCACAAATTTGGTGTGGAAGTTTTCTGGGATAGAACTCTTGTTAATAGCAAAGAGTAACTATACACTGCAGGAATAAATTGCATTAATTCACTTGACTTTTGATGGAGATTATACTGGTACAAAAGTGTTGACTAACGTAATTTTCATCACACACTAACATAATAAAATATTGACATTCACAGTCCAAGAGCATGATCATTCATTCCTACGTTTTCAAAAATCATATTTAAAACATTACTATAGGATGAGATAAATCAAACCTTTTCATAAGGCGCTTTAGACATCAATGCATGATGCAAAGCACTTCTTGGCAGCATCACGAGCATATGGAATGTAAGAGAGGGAATACCACGTCATTGCTAAGAACTGGATGACCACCATCAACAGTGCTAGTGCTTTCTTGTGCAACTGAAACATGAACAAAAATTACCATGAATTTTATACAAGACGTGGATCTAAGGCTCGCTGATCTGATGTCACCGAGCCTCAGAACCACGTCTTGGGTCAAAGTAAAAAACTAAATACAGTACAAGTGTGTGTAAAAATAATTGTATTATTAAAACTATTTACATCAACTAGAATTAGCATACCATACAAAAAATTCAATATAAATTCAAAAACTTACTGACAATAAAGCAAGTTCTTATCTACCGGTGCACATTTAGGAAAATGCACGAAAATGTCTTGCCATGAAGGTACTGTATTCTACCATTCAGGTAACTTACCACAAAGGCTGCCACAAGTGTCATAATGAGGGAAAGAAACATGACAATTGTGGCAATGACTCGAGTCTTGGCAAACATCTTCTTGCACTGATTTACAGGACCCATAAGGAAGCATGTACTGAAAAAGGGGATCTTTATTAATCAACAAAGAAGCAAGACATGTTTAACAAAAAAAAAAAAAAATCATAAAGGTTACCATTTTGTGGTAGCCTTACCTTAGCTGAAGAAGCAACTGAATGTGATGGCTCACATTTTTTTTTTTTGGGGGGTGGGGAGGGTGGGGAGGAGGAATACAAGTGTCTTTATAAGCAGTGAACTTGGTTGCTCTTGTGCCCTCTTTCTGTAGTGTCATGAACCATTAGCTTTCAAAAATTTACCAATAAAGAGTACATTTCAAATATCTATAGGAAAATAAATTTATCTGTTAGCCCGCTTTCCAAATGTGGCAAACAATCTTTAGTGGGCACTTCCCCGCATGGCTTAATGATCTTAGCTTCTGTGCAGCCATTCACTGAATCACTTAATCAGCAATGGATCAGTACAAGCTTATGTTCTTAAGGTAGAGTATTTGGATTCTCCTAATGGACAAATTGCCTGCATAAACTCCTTACAGTCTACTGTAAGGAGTTTATGTCACTGGATATGAATGTTCTGCATAGATTGCTGGACTTTAAAAAAATGCATTGCTGTGAATTATTCATACCAGCCATGCATCTTTATTATCTTATCTTTAATACATTCAAGAATTTAGCAAAAGTTGAACCCGTACAAACCCAAAACTCATAGCATCCTTTTATTGTAATGAGAATTTGATGTTACCTATGGCACAGACCTAATCCAAACACGCACAATATCTGCCCAATTCTTATACAACTCCTCAAGTCTTTGTTGAACATCAATGTGGTTACATGGTTTCCTCTCCCCAAACAATTTCCACAAATTTAGTAAAAACATTTCATGCACTGAGCACATTATTTATTTATTTATTCATGCAGTCATTCATTCTACAAGTATTTACACTCAAATTTATTAAAAACTATTTACCTATTAACTTAGTGTTACTACATGCTTGTCTTAAGAGAATTTATGGACTCTTTCAGTACAGGTAAAATGAGAATATGCAACACATTCACATAAATCAAATTTACCTTGAAATTGCCAATATATTTCCAAGTGTGTAGAAAACTGCAAACAAAATTAATCCTCTTGGCAAGAAGAGAAATGCTGAGCCCATGATGGAGAATAGAAAGCCAAGGCCAAAGCATATTGCAAAACCTTTAACTCTTGTGCTCCAGCTCAGACTGCTACTGTCAATCACCTGTCAATGAAACAAAGAGTAACATATTTCAAAATATCAGTACTGTACTACAATCATGCAGAGGAAAGTGCATCACAATCCACACTTAAAAAATGATAGCATAATTTGTGGCCAACTGGGACACAATGAAAATGGTGATTCAGAGGAATTTAGAGATTCAGTTTGTCCAAGAAATGTTCCCAACTACAAATATGCTTCATTAGGAAGTGCATTTACAAAGTGTATAGAAAACTTCTGCCAATGAAACAAACTTAAAAGTAACACAGTTCCTTAATCTGGTATGAATAAACATACTGGTATAGATAAAACATGATGGTAAATCTCCAGTAAGGTGCCAGTTGATGAAAGGATTATAACATTTTGCATTATACTCAAATCCCAAAGAGAGAGAGTAAAGCAAATGATATGCCCTCAAGATTAGATTTCTATAGATGAAGAAATACAGTAAAGTGAATGCTATATTCTCTTTTTTTTAAGCTAAGAAACTTTTATAGTTGAGCAGGAGAAGCACAATCATATCAGGCAAACAATTGTAAAGTATAAGATAAAACTTCTAGACTGCCAGTGGCTCGATAGTGTGCTCTATTCAACGTGAAATCATGAATACTGCCCTTCTCACTCCCATGACCTTCACCTTTAGTAACCTATAATCTAGACATTGTTCCTTACATTCCATTTGCAAAGTAATCACTTACAGTAACCTGGATTAGTCTGTTAATACTGTAGAGAAATATAAACAATATGGATAATGACTTCTTAGTAAGTTAACCCTTAAATTACAGGACACACCATAAGATGTGTTCAGTACAGCTACGTTATTTATTAATCATCAAATGATGATTAATTTGCACCACTTTTTAAATGCTGACTGGTGTCACAAACTGTAGTTAAATTTGCTGTCGAGAGAAGTCGGCATGTCACCTAGCACCCAAAAAGAGAACCTCACTGCCCTCTTATACTTACAGCCATGATGGAGGTTACATACCTCTCCACTCTCATCCTTAGTAGAGTGGCAAAACTTTCATAGCTATCTAATTGATCATTCAAACTTACAACTTTCCCCCCAGCTTCTCCAAAGATGTACTCATTTCTTCCATGGGTTTATCTTCTGAAATTCTATCTTTAACTCTTCTCACATTAGCAAACCCAACAGTATTCTTCTTTGCACTTCTTTCAACAATTTTATCAGATTTCAGCACACACACACAGTCAACTTCTAATTTCTAGCAAACTTTCTCCTGTCTTTCTTTCTCTCTGATATTCACATTGATTTTTCCCACATCTCCTTCCTACACTTGTTTGCTACTATCCAAAATAATCCCCCGTCAATTCTTTTTTTTTTTGCTATTTTATTCCAAACTATTGTTCACTTTTATTGTTTAATCTTTTCACTGTTATAATTGTTTTATTGTCCCTCCTTTACTGTACTTAGAATTTAAAAGAGCCACATTTTCTCAAAATGTCTACATATTTCAGAAATCAAACATTAAAATAGGCATGAAGTGTACCGAGAATTAAACGTACAGTACAGTATATCACTGAACGTTTACACGCAGTGTCCTAGTACAGTAATTTAGATCCAGCAATACCCATCCACAAACAAATTTAGCTATTGAACAGATAACTAGACAACACATGAGAGAGCAAATTTGTTGTCTAGTAATATTAAGAAAATACAGTATAACTAGAAAAAGTGAAAGGCATAGCACATGCATAGTACAATTTCAAGCTACATTAGTGAAATAAATGTTTTCTATAATAAATTTATTTACTCAAGCTCTATCTTGAAAAAATACAAAAAAAAATTGTCAGTACAGTAACCTCATTTCAAGTGCAACACTGCAAAAGCAATACTTTTTGTTTGTTTAAATAGAACAACAAATTTAGAATGATCTTGACACATACCTCTGAAATCTTACAAAAAATATTTGTGCTTTCTGGTTATTATCAGCTGTAATTTTTTTGGTTTAGAAAAGGTTAGTGCAGAAGTTCAAACATATATAGGGCTCAGTTAGGAATATAATTTACATACTGTATCCTTAAGACAAAATAATGAAGAATTAAAATTTATTAAATAGAATGCTTATGTGCAATGTATCTAGTGAACATGGAATAGACCCTTCAGGAAAAAAGAAAAAAAATTGTATTACGTAAAGAAGCTGATACATCATCAAAAGTTTCTGGGCACAACCCTATTCTCAATGACAAGGTGAAACTATAGCTACTGTATTAACAATATACCAGAAAATGCCAAAACCACAAAAGAAATAATAACAAAATGTTCAGATTTCTTATGACCAAGTGTTTGGTTAAGACAAAAATAAATGAAATAGGATGAAGTATAATGGTAGATATGAATTGGTCATTCAAATTCAATAATGTGATCAAATGTGTAAAGTTAACCAATGAATATCAAATTATTTTCCAACATTTCATTTATTTATTTAGTGGAGGAAAGAGGCATTTATTATTCAGCATTTTGGCATTTACAATACAATGCATGCATCTATTAAAAAAATAATAATAAACCTATGTTTATACATCACTTCTATAAACAAATGATACACAATCCACTACTAAAAAAAAAATCTATAAATTTTCAGAGAAGGACCTGCAACACTTACACGCAAGAGTGGCGTGTCCTCCGTCTAGGGAAGAAAGAAGTGGAGTTTAGTAGATACGTGATGGCCAGTCTTCAACACACTAATGTGCTGCTGGTAACACTGCTAATGATCACATAGTTCAATAGACAAACACAACATTAAGACACTAAAGGATAGGAAAGCCACACCATTGCAAAGTTGCAAGGCATAATCCATAGCAAAAAAGAAAATAAACGAGGTACAAATATAAGGTTTAGTGTTTCAATACCAGAGGCGGCATTTTTTAATTAGATTTCTCAAAGTGCTATTTTTAAGGCTAAAAGGAACCACAAAAAGTCTACTGAATATTTATATAAAGTATACATACAATATCTTGTTTTTCTCGTAAGAGTAATAATACTAAATATAATTTGCAAACTGGAGGCAGACACAGTGCAACCTTTTGATAACCAAAATCCCTAAACTGTTATTAACAAATGTATTAAATCTGAACTATACAGTATATAACAAGAGTAAAATCATCCTAGTTCATTACTGTGATGGCTAAATGGGATAACCAACTCTTCCTTTCAGTATTTATGGATACAACATAGAGTGAATACTTCACTGTTTTCAAGTAAGCCCCGTGAATATGAAAGAGAGGACTTGAACCAAAGATACAATTAAAAACTGAATGCATAAGTAGGGTTTTTTAACGAAGTGCATAAAGAAAGAGAAAAAAGTAGTGTACAAGCAAAAAGAAGAGATGAGTGAGGAAATACAAAGTTGAAAGACAAAATATGTTGTAAAATGACATGGATTTATGAACCGAGAGTGGGAGACACGACACTAGACAGAAAAAGTTTTACATAAACTGTATATGATACCTTCAAAAAAGGTATACAGTATACTATATTATAATGTACTGTATTTAGCCATTTTTGGGCAATGAAAATATAAATGAACACAGCCTACTTATATGTATAGTATATGACCATAAACTGTATATGGATATAAAAATATATAGTATAACATGTCAACACTTGTTTTGTTCAATTGTTGATATACTACATACTTTCTTATCAGTATATTTCGCCTCATCCACATGCCTAAAAACTTAGTATATTCATAATGAAGCATACATCTACTACACATACCTGTAGTAAATACCTGGAGTTTAAATGAAAACCTAGGAAATGTCCCTTGTAAACAATGCATAATAAAAAATAAATTCATGAATTCATGGTTAAAATGAAGCTTTTTTTCCATCTCCACCAAGATTACTTTTGTTCACATTTATCTTTAGCAGCCTTTTCTTGCATATATCAAGAAAGTCTTGGAATGAGAATATAAATGATGTGTTAGGAACTGATCTAAATTGGTGAAGCAGAATTATGTTTACGAATCCTCAATTAATTTAAATCTTCAAGTGTTCTGTTTTAAAGTTACAATATAAACTCGCAAATCAATTGCAAAATTCAAATTAAAAAAGGTTATTTGTTTTATGTAATATACTTTATAAATATATTTCCAAGAACTGGACAGTATGTCTTATGTCCAACTGTGCTTGAATTTAATTGAATGTACAGTAATTCAATGAAATAAGAGATCCCTTATTTTTTTACATATACATATATCCTTTACTTCAGCAGTTAGGCAATGAAGGATAAGGGCACTACCAATTGTGTCACAGTATACTGTATATAAATTAAGTGCACCTCCTTATTTGGTCAGTAACCAATTCTCACCTAGTTCAATTTATGACCATTCTTACTTTCATTAAAATAATCATTATCAAGGCTTACCCTGGTTTCCCCCATTTTCATAGTGGGGGAAGATTACAAAAGAAATAAACAAGACAATGAAAAAAATGTTAAACACTTATTCACTAATCTTCCACACTACACAGTATTATGAAGCCTCGGCTCTATCAGCTCCATCGGCTCTTCGTAACTCTGAACCAGATTTCCAATACGCATATGGGTATAAATGGGAGATGCACTTCCATGCCACTAAAACTCAAATAAAACACCCACATTTTTAAGACCAATATAAGAAACAATTTTTTATTTAATCTTATGGAATTGTGAATTATGGAATTGTTCTGCCTGCCTAATTTTATGCTTTTTTGAAGAGCTAATATGTATAATTATTAAGGGAGTAAAAGGTGCATGCACCAGTGCATGGGGCACTGGTGCCTCGCCAAAATGCTTTCTTTTCTCATTAGCCACTATTGTTGCCTTTTTCATTGTTAGCGTAAAATGAAATTTTCAGAGAACCAAACAATAGATGGTTGGGTTGCCAACATTTATCATTTATCTGGCAATAAAATAGGCTTTCGACATAGTTCCTCATAAGAGGTTGTCCTGGAAACTGGAACGTATTGAAGGAGTTATAGGTAGGCTTCTAACGAGGATGAAAAATTTTCTAACAGTAAAATGAGGGCAGTAATCTAAGGCAATGTACTGTCCTGGAGAAATGTCGTGAGTGGAGTACCACAGGGTCATTTCTTGCATTGGTAATGTTCATTGCCTACATAAACGACCTACCAGAAAGAATACAGAATTATATGAATATTTTTGCCGATGATGCTAAGAACTAGGGAAGATAAGAAACTTATGCAATTGTCATGCCCTTCAAGAAGACCTGGAGAAAACAAGTGAATGGAACACCATTTGGCAAATGGAATTTAATGTGAATAAATCCCATGTTATGGGTGTGAAATAGGAGTAAATAGGACACACACACACAACCTACAAATTATGTGAAAATGCTTATGATTAATGTCTTTCCGACAATTTTTGACAAAAAAATTCTGACAGATCTAGGGGTGGTTCTAGATAGAACACTTACCCAAGGATTGCATAAAGAACATTGTGCAAGGAGTCTTTGCTACGCTTTCCAATTTCTGAATTGCTTTTAGATACATGGATGGTGAAATACTAAAGAAATTGTTCACAACCTTTGTGAGATCGAAGACGGAATATGCAGCGGTTGTATGGTGCTCATATCTTAACTAGCACATCAATGAACTGGAAAAGGAGCAATGATATTTACCCAATTTACCCGAAGGCCACTAACCCTAGTGGCCTCGACGAGGACACGAAGCCGGCAGCTTGTTGAAGGTCCCTACAAGTGCCTTGATGGTTTACTGTATTTATATGCCACTAAATTGCTCCCAGAACTGAACGACAAGAGGACAAGAAGAGGTTACAGGCATTAAATATACCAAAAATAGAAGGAAATGAGGCAGTATATACAAATAGTATTGGGAACTCACAAATTGATAGGGAAGAATTTAAGAGACCTGGAACTACAAGAACAAGAGCTCATAGATTTAAGGTAACTAAACAAAGCTACTGAAAAATATGAGAAAATTCACTTTTGCAAACAGAGTGGTAGATAGTTGGAACAAATTAAGTGAGGGGTGGTAGAGGCCAAAACCATCAGTAGTTCCAAAGCATTTAATGACAGTGCTGTGAAGATGGGACACCTTGAGCATAACTCATCCTGTAACTACACTTGGGTAATTACACTGAACAATCTTGGAGACATTACACAACCCTGGTGGACTCATTACATTATTGACACTTACATGTATAGATTTATTAGAAACATAATTATTTTCCAAAACTAGGCCCATTTAGTTTAACAGTATGTACAGGAACAATGAAGCTAACCAGAAAATATCTGTATTCCTATACATTTACTGTACCTGAATTTACAGTAGTCAATTCTTCATTTTAAGATGGAATGTATTGTGACACTGAAAATCTGGGCAATCTGAATAGTATTTAACCGAGAATCTAATAAACAAAAGAGAATATATTTTCTAGCACTATGAATTTAATTACACAAAAAACAAACAATACAAGTTCCATAAAATATACCCAATAGGGTTTAATTGACACTACAGCAAGGACATGCAAACCTTATATCTTGGATACAATTTTAGTTACTGTACCTGATGTATGATGAGCATTGACCAGCAGTAGAGAAAATGTACTTTACAGTATTCAGTAAAAACAAACACTAACCTATAGTACATGTTGAGCACATTGCACATTAATGTAAAATTTGAGAGGTTAGATTTTGCAGTAATTTAGTGTATATTTTAAGTGCTATATACAGTGGAACCTCGATTTTTAAATTTTTCTGTTCTCGATCTAAATTTCTTCAAAAAATTTAACTCAGTACTCGAGTTTGTTGATACACATATGGGCCAACCAAGTGCGTGGCGTGCTTCAATTTACCAGTGTATCCCGCTTACTGATGAACGCACTTGAATTCGTTTGTTTTTGTGCTTTTATGGTTTCTGAACATAAATTTTGTTATTATATGTCATGCCATGCGTTCCAAGAAAGTCAGTGGTTAAGTTCAACCTAAGAAAATAGTTGTGAGGATGATAAGAGGAAAAACGAGATCATTCATAGTGAGATCATTCATGTGATGTCTCACTACAGACAAGTATTAAAACGTAGGGAAAAACAAGTGTCTATAGACTGATTCTTAGTAAAACAAGCAAGCAGTGAGCCACAACCAGGTCCTAGTGGTATGCCTGCAAAACGTAAGAGTTGTTATAATGGAAGGGGACTCCCCTTTCAAACATTAACACCTCTTCTCCGACCCCTTTCCTCACTGTCTTTCATATGCCAACAAGAGTCCACGATAAAGATATACTTGTACATACTGTAGTACAAAATATAAGTAGTAGTATGTATAAAATGTATTTTTAAGTTAATATTTTTGGAGGCGTGGAATGGATTAATTCAATTTACATTATTTCTTATGGAAAAATTTGTTTTGTTTTTGAATTTTCAGTTTTTGAACTCAAAATTCAAATTCAAAAATCAAATGTTTATTCAGGTAAAGTACATACATACAAGGTGAGATACAAAGATTGATGGATTTATACATAGCTAGTACATACACTGCCTAAAGCCACTATTACGCAAAGCGTTTCGAGCAGTCTCTGGGAATAGATTAAATTTGAAAATGGAGGTACCACTGTACAGTACAGTACAGTATCTGTATTTTTTAAATTAATTATATGTAAGAAGGTACACTGGGTTGTGAGAGTAATAACACTGGTGTTCATAACACTGGTGTTCTAGTGTTACATTCTTGCAAAGCTATTAACACTCATAGCTCTTCGGGTGGGCTTCATATATACTGATAAGAGAAATTAACACACCCTTTACTAAAACTGAATAGCAATAATAGCAATAAAATATAACACCGATTATTTTTGTTTATTTTTTTCTTTGTATAAAAACAGTCTACGTTAACCTTGTAAAGTAAAGAGTTGGCGCTACTATACAATACTTCATATTGTATACAGGTATTAATATTTGTTAAAGTAACACTGAATATGAATTACCATATAATCAAGAAGTGGGAACCATACCATAACAAATATCGTTTCGTACCATACAATACAATATTCTTAAAACACAGTAAACCACAGAGCAGAGCTACATAAAGGTGCAGAACAATATTACCATCCTGTCAAACGTCAGCAAAACATAAGGTCATGCTACAACAAAAAAAACATGAAAACAATTTAAAAGTGGCCTACCTGGGTAATTATATTCCCTCTCTCTTCCTCTTCTTCACCAATAGTTTCCCGGCCACTTAAAGCTTTACGCAGTTTGTCCATATTTAAGTAGTTAAATGTCCTCCACTAAATTTCTCTGTAGATATATTAAAAACCTTAAAAATGTCCATCTCATTATAGTATAATCATATGTAGTCAGACAATTTTCTTAAATTAAACTGAAATTATATAATTCAAAAATATTAATAATGTAGTCTTAGAAAGAATTTGCCACCAGAAAACCTTGAAAATATGAATCAGAGGGGGGTTTGCAATACGTGTATTATAGCGGTCTACATAGTCAAAAGTAAACCGGTGTTGTTGAAAAGTTGATATTTTTGACAAGTAAAATAATGAAACACACATAGGTTACATTAGGAGTAAGGTATATCCGCTCACTCCTAGACAAGAAAATTATTGCATCCTCAGTGGATTAAAATGTAGTAGTATTAGGCTTTTACGAAAGTTCTGGAATGAACACAACATTCTTAAATGTGATCTTGGAACTTGTGATATAAATGCAAAACCCATGGTAATATTAATAAGAAAATAGCAGTTACCAGAGTTTCCGAATTACCTACAAGCACTACTGGTAGCCTTCTCTCAGCAATGCCAAGGTCAATATAGTACGTACTGTATAATGTAACGTTATTGTTATGACAGTTTTGCCTTTTCATTCCTAGTGTGATAACTCTTGCAAATTGCTATATGCACTGATAGGTATAATGTGCAATTAGCATCTCTCTAAATACTGCAAGTGCTCTCCTAGGACCAACAGAGCAGCCATGGCCACCTATGACCAGGACCATACCAGAAGACTTGTGCAGATTGGACTACATATGAATTGGCACCAGAGTGAGCTTAGGTAGTCTTAATAACTCTTGTATTGCCAGACAGACACAAACACACAAGGGTCCTGGAAGTAGTCGGGTTCGTTCTTGACGCACAGTCGAGAATTCTGGGTTCCAATCCTGGGCGTAACAGAAATGGATTGGCACATTTCTTTTCACCTAATGCCTATGTTCACCTAGCAGTAAGTAGGTACCCAGGAGTTAGTCAGCTTGTTGTGGGGTTGCATCCTGGGCAGGGTCAGTAATTCAACCTTGGGGGGGGGGGGCTCAAGGAAAGCCTAACGTGTTTGAATACACCCAACCTCCTGTCCTCAACACAATGAACATAATTATTACAATTTTACCATACTTATTACAATTCTACCATCTTATCAGATGGTAGATTTGCCAAACGTTTACATTTTATTTTTGCAGTTCTAATTCCCTTTTGTATTGTTTTTCTCTATTTTCTTAGCATAAATAGCAGCAGTCGGTCCGTCTAATTACCACAAGCTACACAAGCTTCAGAAAGCTTCAGAAAGCTTATGTTAGTAATGAATAAATATGATATATTTACTCATTATAATGTTGGTGCTGAACGTACAACACGAGAAAACATAATTTTAATCTGAAAAAGTATATTTTTATTAAGAAATTAGACGAAAATAAAGAGCCGGTGACGCCAAATAAGGTCGACGATCCAAGCGTCGGTTAGGTTAGGTTAGGTTTGGTTAGGTTTGGTTAGGTTTGGTTAGGTTTGGTTAAGTTTAGGTTAGGTTAGTTTAGGTTAAGTCAGCCTAACCTAACATATCATGTTTATTCATTACTAACGTATTGCCAGGAAGCTTTCTGAAGCTTTGTGAAGCTTGTGTAGCTTGTGGTAATTAGACGGACCCGCAGCAGTGAACAAAACAGCCAAGATTGCCATAGAATCCAGAGATACACGTCATATTTATTATTTATATACATTTGGATGTCAAAAGTAAATTCTTGCAAAACCACTAACACGATTGTCCAACATAACCTAACCTAAAAAGGCTAACTAAAGCTATATATTCAGTTTTGACAATTAGAAAACAGGCTTTGTCAAAATGCTTTTGTATGATGTAGATAAAGTAACATACACAAAATGGTTTGCTAACAAATTTTATAACCTTCCTAAACTAACCCAGCTTTACCTAACCGAAACTAGTACAGCCTAACCTAGGCTAGTACATACTAATCTAACTAATTAACTGTTTTAACAATTACTTAACGTTTTAAGTCGAAACGCCTGTGTACGATTTGACCATACCTCGGGTTTGATACGGTTAAGCAGAGTAAAGTTGAGTAAGTTTTAAAACTAATAGCCATTATCTACCAAGGAGAATGGCTAAAATCAATTCTTGCAACTCTTAACTTGCAGATTAGTATTAACAAGGCAAGATAAAAGCACAGGATTTTGAGGGCAATTTCGTCACATATATGAGGTTAACCTTTTTAGATAACCAAAAACAGGAAATCCGTTGTCTTTCGAAAACCTTTTCCTTCTCCTTCCGCTATTTACCAACTTGCCATTTCCACTTCACCGTTCACTCAACACGCACAAACATAAAATGATGTGAAATTGTAATTACTTTCGTAAGAACAGGAAGCACTGGCACCTATCAGACAAGACTGGCCTTATCCATAAGGGGGCTCGTCATTTCGTATACTACTGTTACCTTTCCTCCCCCGTTACGTCACAGTTTGCCATCACTTACACAGATTCTCATTTTTAAAAAGAGGATTCCTTAAATTTTAATATTTCATAAGTTGTAAATATATTGAACACCCCATGCAATTTTTAAGTAAATTTCAGGTTCAATGAGAATGTAAACAGTCTTCTGTACGAAGTGATCTGTACCAGTCAGTACCATCTCGTGATGAAATCACAAAATTAAGTAACCATTTAATTCTCTACAAAAAATACTTAATTATTAATACTTCATATAATGTTTATATAAATTGTAACAAGTGCATACATATAATATTACTAAAATCTAGCTAATAGATATAGTAGATAATAGATGATAAGATGTATTTACAAAATGTTCATGACAAATGTACTTTTAGTCGATCTCGAACCCATTGATGTTTAGACGTATATTGAATTTTGTAACTAGCTCGTCAAGATCGTAGCTTGTTAGCTAAATGAATTGCGGGGTTCAGTCCCTGAGCTCATTGTGCCTCTGTAACCCTTTCCACTACCGCCCACAAGATGGATATGGGGTGCATAATAAATGAACTAAACTAAAACTAACAAATATCTTTATTCTCCAGAGTTGGACTCCTTGAACAGGTAATAAGCTCTCTAGGTACACAGTTACACAATTAGAACCCGTAGAAATCATTAGAAAACCGTAAGAAGTGTTGGAAAAGGTCGAGAATTATTTCAACGCCCAGCAGCAGCAATTAACACACTTTCTCAACACGAATATGAACAAAAGCTCCTTGAGTCTACCATTATCTCCTCACACAATTTCCCCCAAGAAACTGACGGAGAGCTACTACCATCGTGATCCGGGAATTACGTGATAAGCTGAAGTACGAAATTCAAGCAAGAGGTATCAAAGCAGCATATAGAGTGGGTACTAAAGCATCTAAATGCAAATCCTGCTTTGAACTCTTCCTTGACAGATGTAGTAGAACCCATAATCACACCAGAAATAAATATCTCTGATATCCAGTCAAACTAAATCTGTGCAAACAGTACAAATAAAGAAACCTAGTCTATGGAACTTACTCTCTAATGAATTAAAAAACTGTCCAACCTATTTTTGTTTTGTATTATTAACAAGCTTTGGTATACACAGCAATGTCCTGCTACCTATTCCACATGAAAGATTAGTGTAGATAATAAAACAACCTATAAGTTCTAATATTCCCATTTCACAGGATGGTCAGTCATACTTGGAATCAGGGGAGCAAATACCAGCCTTAATACAAAAACAAATCAGCTATGACTAAAAATCATAAGAGAACATGAAATGTAGGCTGATCAATTAGCCTCCACCAGCAAAATCTGGGTACAACAAAAGAATATCTTCCAATATTCATGAGTGTATGAAATAATTACAGAGCTCTAAGTACCTGACACCATTTGGTCTGAAGTCACATGACGGCAATCACAGATATAGTGTTGGAGAGCATGCCCTAGCTCTTGTTCACATAGTTTACAATTGGAATGTTCACCATTGGGAAATTCATTACCTGCAATAGATACCGATATCCCAGCCTAATTTTGGCAATTACAATGTCACACTGTCTAGTAGATGTTTTATACTGCCCGTACATATAATTCTCCGTTCTAAATGTCACAGCTCTTTATACTCGTGCTTTCTGGCCTTGTGTGTTAGTAACTGCTTTTCTGTTTTCCCTAATTTCTTGAAATATTGCAACTTTTACAACAGAGATTGGAATGCCCATATCCAACTCAATTTCAGGCTTATCGATGCAGTTTTAGCAGATTTGTCTGTCATCATGCTGGACAACACATATGTGAGATGGTGTCCATACAAATGAAACTGAAAGTCTTGCTCTTTGCATTAATGTTGTTTATAATGGATGCTATAACATTTCTAGTATCAACTTTGCTATATTCAAAGGTAAAACCCAAATGTACCTAATTTCATCCTCAGTTTCCTACCTAGTGCTTCAAACTCGCACTGTATCTTGTGCTACCCACTTCTCCAATATGTGCCTAAGCCATGTAACTTTACCATTGTAATCATTGCTATCAATTTATATTATGATTATGTTGAATGAAAATTTTACTACAATGTGCCTGTTAATAATCCTCAAATTATGCTATAATGTACTTGTTGATAATCCTCAAATTTTACTACAATATACCTATTAATTTTCTTCAAATTTTCTTACAATATACCTGTCAATATTCTTCAAATTTTGATACAAATTACATACTGAAATTTATCTGTTAGATTAAGGACCTGCCTGAAGCGCTATGCGTGTTAAGTGACTTTGCAAGAATGTAAAAACATTGATGCTATATATTCTCATAAACTCAATGTACATTCTTATAGATACTGTATATAAATAAATACAAATTAATAAATATAACATATTTGGCTGTCTCCTTTTCCTTATTTTTGTATATAGGTACTAAATTTCTTGTTTTTTAGAAACCCATTGACTAGTGGAGAATTTAAATTATTGCAGTTGAACATCACTTCCAGAGTTCTCACACAGATTGTCTATGCCTATACTGTTCTATATGGAATAGGGTTGCAGGAGGACAGGCAGAGGGGTGTTGGAGAGTAATGCAACTAGGAAAACCACCATCTTAAAATTGTCACAAAGATCTCTTGAACAGTATAAAAGCTCAGTGTAAGTATTATTCATATTTGTTTATGAGTTGTAAAACATAATTGTCGATATAACAAGAAAGCGGTCAGTATATAAGCACTGCACATTTTCCAAACTCCTGATAATATAAGGCAGGGAACAGAAGATAACTCCTTATGGAGATGAGATAAGAGTGATAAGAAAAACCGATGTCTGCGTCAGGACTGAACACAGTTAGTCGGTTACCACACTTCATCTGCAAACCTGCCAGCTTCAACGACTCTGCTAAACTCCTTCACGAAAACTCGATTCAAGTAAGGCAAATTTATTTATCAAATGAGTACAAAATGTAGTGCAAAACTAAATAAAATGTCCTTGAAAGGAATTAGAAAATGTTAAGTTTAGGCTAGCCCAGTTGCCAAGCCCTAATCCTGTCATTCGCATGTAGATGGACAGCTAAATCATAATCAAATCCTGTACGTTAATATAAATTATCGTACTCATTAGAATTACTACCAAATCTCCACTTCAGTTTAGTCCACTTCCCTTAAAGGAGTCTTTGGGTTACTTTCCATCATATAATAGCTGGTTTATTATCTTTGAAGTTTACAGTAAGACTATAGTATACAGTACTGTGATTTTCTTTAGGTAAATTACATGATATTTCGAAGTTCTAAGTGCTTATTTTCATTATCTACAATACAGGTAAAATGTTGGCCTTAACAAACCATACTTACATGCTATATTTAGTTTTATTACTGAAAGGTAGTCGATATGGGTATCATTGGAATGTTTAGCACCATTGATGCTTGTCATTAACTGGGTGACTAGGAGGCTTTGTCCCCGAATACTGTTTACCATGTTGACCAAACCACACACTAGAAAATGAAGACGACGTCGTTTCGGTCCGTCCTGGACCATTATCAAGTCGATAGTGGACGAACCAAAACGTTATCGTCTCTTCAGTTTCTAATGTGTGGTTTGGTCGACATTTTTCAGCCACGTTATTGTGACTCATCATCTGCATTGTTTCCCATACTACATATATGTTTTGTACTTTTGGTGATTAGAATGTATGTTGCCTCTTCTCAATGCAGAGCAGTTATTTAGGAACAACATACATATTGTAGTGGAAGCTCAACAAAATTAGGTAAAAGCCAAAAGGTAAAAATATACTTTGTCAATAAAGATGAAATAAAACAATGGACATTATCAGAGCAATCTTAATAAAAAAGTTTTGGAATGTTGAAGACTTCTTGCCAGAATGGCAATTAGCCATGAAAATTACATTTAAATTGTGAATATGGCAATTCGTAAGTACCAAGTGCGGAATAATTTATATTAAAACATAAGTTAATAAAATATTAAGGCAATTTAGAATCAGGAGGTAAAATTTAATGATGTGTTCAGCAACTTGGAAATATATGTTAACAGTGTTTTAATTTAAGCATACTTTACTAGAATTAAATATTTTGATTGAAATTAAATTTACTTTAATCTAAAATAAATATGCAGTTCTCATTGTCATCCAAATGTTTAAAAGTACATAATAATGTCGCATGTTGGCCATGAAATAACATTGTTATTTCACGTTCACCAGCTCACCACGGTGAGGTCTGCGACTCAAGCTGGACCAGGGCTAATCGTCCGAGAGAATCCTACAAGGAGATCCTTCATGAAAGACCTTCCTGGAGGAACTCTCTCGTTGCGTTGAACCCTAAACAACGCACCAAGGGTTACTTTGGGATATCCAGTGATAGTTAGACTATCACTGGACATCGCTCACCAATAGCAAGCTAATGGTGATGTATATGAAGACCACCCACAAGGAGTGGCGAATAAAAAAGGGAAAAGGAAATGGGAAAATAAGGATTGAGGAAGTCATGTGCCATATTGAACACAATATGTGCCTGTTGAATACAGGGCTCGTCACCTGAACTCTTCAGGTATATTTCTTGAGTTGTTCAGTCCATCCACAGGAATGTTCCATTGACAGTATATACTCTAACATCCTAGATAAGATTCTTCTTCACAATTTCCACATAAAAAAGTACCTGCAGCATTATCTTGAGTCTAATGATAATTTGCCAGAGTCCAATTCTTGAGAACATGGACACAGTCCACAAAAGGAAACCAGATGAGTTCTACTGAGAACCAATGATATTTTGGCAGAGTACATTCCTTGGAAAATATGGACAGAGTCCATGTTTTCTTGGGAATCTAATGATAAGTTTTAGACTCCAATCTTTGGGAAACAAGGACAAAGTCCATAAAAAGAGTTCAATTGAGTCCAATCCTTGGGAAACAGTTCATAAAACGAGGCCAGCTGAGTTCTATTGAGAGTCCAATAATAATGGTTTGGCAAAGCCAAATCCATGAGAAATATGAAAGTCCACAAAAGAAAGCCAGATAAGTTCTCTTGAGGATCCAATGATAGTATTCCTTGAAAAACTCCATCCCTCGAAAAACAAGGACAAAGTCCTCAGAAGGAAACGGGATAAGTTCTCCTTAATCCAATAACAGTTTGACAGTCCATCCCTTTGAAAACATGGACAGAGTCCACAAAAGGAAACCAGATGAGTTCTCTTGCAAATCCAATGATAGTTTGGGAGAGTCCTTGGGAAATAGAATCCACAGAAAGTCCACTTTCTGATTTTTCTTGGGAATCCAATGATGGTTTCAGATTCCAAACTTTGGGAAACATGGACACAGTCCATAAAGAGTTCAATTGAGTTCAATCCTTGGGAAACAGTTCATAAACCGAGGCCAGCCGAGTTCTACTGGGAGTCCATTGATAGGTTGGCAAAGTCCAATCCATGGGAAATTTGGAAGTATTTAAAAGGAAGCCAGATAAGTTCTCTTGATGATCCAAGGATCCAATGATAATATTCATTGAAAAACTCCATTCCTTGAAAAACAAGGACAAAGTTCACAGAAGGAAACTGGATGAGTTCTCCTGAGATTCCAATGATTGTTTGACAAACCATTCCTTGGAAAACATGGATAGAGCCTCCACTGCTGAATCCTATGATGGATTGGCAGAATCCATTCCATGGTCAGAGTCCAGAAAAGGAAACCAGATAAATTCTCTTGCAAATCCAAAGATAGTTTGGCTGAGTCCTTGGGAAATAGAATCCAGAGGGAAACTAGATGAGTTTTCTTTAGAATCCAATGACAGTTTAGTCTTTTCTTGGAAAATATGGACAGAGTCCACAGAAGGGAACCAGATGAGGTCTCTTAAGTATTAAATGATGGTTTCTTGAGGTTATCTTGAGATGATTTCGGGGCTTTAGTGTCCCCGCGGCCCGGTCCTCGACCAGGCCTCCACCCCCAGGAAGCAGCCCGTGACAGCTGACTAACACCCAGGTACCTATTTACTGCTAGGTAATAGGGGCATTCAGGGAGAAAGAAACTTTGCCCATTTGTTTCTGCCTCGTGCGGGAATCGAACCCGCGCCACAGAATTACGAGTCCTGCGCGCTATCCACCAGGCTACGAGACCCCCTCGTAGACCCCCCTCGTAGACCCCCTCGTATCCACCAGGCTACGGTTTAGCAGAGTCCATTTCATAGACAGAGTCCAGAAAAGGAAACCAGATGAATTATCTTGCGAATTTAATGATACAGTAGTTTGGCAGAGTCCTTGGGAAATATAATCCACAGAGAAAAACCATTAGTTCTCTTGAGAATCCAATGATGGTTTTGCAGAGTCCATTCCAAGGACAGAGTCTAGAAAAGGAAACTAGATGAATTCTCTTGCGAATCGAAATGATAGTTTTGCAGAATCCTTGGAAAATAGAATCCACAGAGGGAAACCAGATTAGTTCTCTTGAGATTCCAATGATAGTTTGAGTCTTCTTGGAAATCATGGACAGAGTCCACAGAAATGAACCAGATGAGTTCTCTTCAAACTCCAATGATAATTTGACAGCCAATCCTTGGAAAATATGATGAGTCCCCAATCCTTGGAAAATATGATGAGTCCATAAAACAAGGACAGATGAGTTTCATTGAGTCTAATGATAGTCTTGCAAAATCCAGTCCAATCCAGATGGTCTTGCAAAATTGGAAAAACATGGACAGAGTCCAGAGAAAGGAACCAGCAGAGTTCTCTTGAGAATCCAATGATATTTTGTTGGGACTAATCCTTCGAAAATATGAAGTCCATAAAACGAGGACATATGAGTTTTATTGAGAGTCCAAGTCTTTGGGAAACAGAGCCCACAAATGGAAACCAGACAACTTCTGATAAAATCCAACGCTATTTTGGTAAAGTCCAATCCTTGGGAAACGTGGATCGAGTCAACAAATGGAAGACAGAAGAGTTCTTCTGAGAATGCAATAGGAGGTTCATGAAATATAGTGGCACAGTTCATTCTTCAGGAAACAACTTGTACTTTTCATATCAATCTTGGAATCCATAATTATTGTTGCTGAACTTCTTTGACTGAAAAGGAATACGGACACAAGTCCGCTTTCGGCATTAAGTAACCTAGTGTTAAGCTGAGGATGAAGCCATAAAGACTAAAACCTCTGCCATATAAAACTATTTAAGCTTAACCTAACGAGAAAGAACATGAAAAACGACATTATTTACAGGATTTTGTGGGAAATGTGTAGTTACTGAAGGGTAAGGTTACTGTTCTGTAGGCTCATTAGGTTTAATTGACAATGTAGGTTTGGTAGACATGTTTCATCGGTCAAACTCATTTGAGAAGACTCATCGAACATAATTCTACCAAGGAAACTGGAGTAGGTTGGATAGGATTAGGATAAACTTGGTGTTAATAACATCGTTAACAAGACTGCTAGAATTAACTTATTATTGCATTACTGTACTCTTTATTAGGAAATATTTAACCCTATTTTCTACATTTTATGATTCTTATTATCCTATCTGATCTCTAGATCTTTGCACACATTGTGAATATTTGTATTTTGTCACCTGGTCATAGTGTCCTCTGCTTCAGAACCGCCTACACATCACTTTCTGAACTGCCAATAGTACGTAAAACCTCAGCCATGAACAATTGCAGCAAATCTGCAAATATGAACTTAGTTAAAATATTTTCATGCAATTGACAGAAAACTTGTGTAGTTTATAAATGATTAGCAGAAAACATGTATATTAAACTACCATTTAACAATAGATATTACCAAAAGTTTACAAAATTTGCAAAGTTGACAACAAACTTGCTTTACTAATACTTCAAATTTAAAAAAATTGCTATATGAAGTTTGATGTAAAATCATTTATTTTAAAATGAATTAATGTATAGTGAGCTATTATAAAAACTTACTTGTTTCCGAGACTAA